TTTGACGGGTTTTTTTTTTTTTTTTGTGAATGGGAGGGCATTACGACTCAGGGGTTACACTTTTATGAATGGGAGAGCTCCAGATTTTACTGCGCATGCGCCGTTTCAAGATTTCATGAATGGAAGAATGGGGGCTTTTCGTCACAAGGGCAATGTCAAAGCGGATTACATGAAGAAGGCGGCTACTACTGCTTTAATTCGTGTTTTCTATACATTGCCTTGTTCGTGTGTGTCTTCCAAAGGTCCTGACCTGTTACGGTATGGAAGCGTAATCATCTTGAAAGGAAATTTAAGGCAAATGTGTTGGGCAGTTTGAACATACTGCTGTGGTCATGTGTTATTTTTGATATGACGCAATGGATATATGAAATTGCACGATACCGTTTTAGTCCAAAACACTTTTGAGTTTAATCACCACGGGTTCATTTGTAAGCCTCGAGTGGTGTGCACTTTATCCTCATTTTGGGTAATCAGAAAACATGTAAGGAACGACCGGTCTTGCTTAGAATGGAAGAGGGGGGGGGGGGGGGGGGGGGGGGGGGGGGGGGGGGGGGGGGATAGAGAGTGAGAGAGTTTGCATTTAAGCGGTCCCATTTTGATTTCTCATTTCCAGTTTGGCTACTTGAGTAGCAAAAACACGTTTATGACGCAGCAGCATGAGGTCATGCAGGATCAACAAAAGAACAGGATGTTGTCGATTTGTAAGGATGCCACAAGCAGGAAATGTGTGTGAATTTCCTTTCTAACATCCCTGTGTCTACCCTTCCCCCCCACGGATAATTCCCAGCTTGACTAATGCTGTCAAATGTTAATGGGCAGCCTCTACATTAGCACATATTTCCATGACAACATCTGCTTTCATATTAAAAATACAGTCACATTATTTGATGTGCTAAATTTAGGAGAGAAATGGTTTCATTATTATAGCTTTGTTGTATGCAATGTATACTGTGCTAAAATGTAACTATGGGGAAAAAAAGAAACAGCACTTTTAGTATTGATTAGATCGGTGGTTCCCAACCCTGGTCCTGGAGGCACCCCAACACTGCATGTTTTGCATGTCTCCTTAATCAGACACAGCTGATTCAGATCATCAGCTCATTAGTAGAGACTCCAAGACCTGAAAAACTGGTCTAACTGAGAATAGGATTATCAAATGAGTCAATTTAACATCTCCAATACACAATGGGTTCCATGCCATGGAAATGGTTTCTGCCTAATGTCATAAATCTAATGATAAATAACTGATGAATAGGTTTGTTTATTTATTTTTATTTATTTACTTATTTATTTATTCCCTAGTGAAACATAAATATAGCCTACTAAAATATATTTGAAATACATTTATTTCATGTTAAGTATACTACAAATACATGTTTATGTACTTAATAAAAATGCACTGCAATTGTACTTTTAGTATATTAAACTGATATACTAAACATACTTTAGTATGCTAAATTGGAACAACTGATTTTATACTTAATGCACTTTAATTGTGCAAATGTAGTGCTGAAGTCTAACTAAAGGTATACTGAAGTATATTTGATTGTGCTCAAGTTGAACTATTGCAAGTATACTTTAAGTACACTTTGAATATATTGCATTTAAAGACTGATAGTATGCAAAGATCATATAGTCCTCATTAGTAGTGGCATTAAAACACATTTTAGGCTTAATATTAAGAAATGTGCATTGTGCACAAGTAGTACTCCAAATAAAGTTTAATTAGAATTTTTGTTTAAGTAAGTCTCGAGCGATATGTCAGTAAATATGTTAATAGATTTGAACTTTACTTAGTGTGAAATAAATGTATTTTAAATATATTACTTTTTACTAAGGTTTAAACTTTATTATTTTTAATTTTTTTAAGATTAAATGGTTAAGCGATTTATTTATTTATCTGTGCAACCAGTTAAGGTTCATAAATAAAGCATTTTAAATTGGATTGTAGTTTGTAATTCCAAAAATTCAGAATTAACAACCCCACTGTACTATGCATAAAGTTTAATCACCTAGTGCTTTAATCACCTTCATAAATGCAAAAAACAATTAAGTATACATTTTCATGAATGCGCAATACTTTTACTTAAATATGTACTGTTGCTTTCAGGCCAGACTAGCGTGGTGACCTGATTTAAAAAGCAGCAGCCTGTGGCCAGTTGGGGGGTCCAATTGAAACTGGCTTGGCCAGTTTCAGGCCAAGCCCACAGGAAGGATATATGTGTGAGGGATATACGCGGAGAATGCAAGCCTTTGGAGATCTGGGCCTATGTGGGGAGAAGGGGTAGGCCCCTTCTGGTCCCCTGCTGATACAGAGGGGAAAGCCGAGCTCTTGGTGAGATGGTGACCCTCGACCCTTCTTCAGAGAATTGACAGGAGTGGTCCTGAACTCTCACCCATGGGACAAACTAGCGATGAAGCGTGACCTGTTGCTGGGGGCGTGGACCTGCCATTCAGGCCACAAGAATTCTGGGCATTCCACGCGCCATTCCTCTTACATAGCAGACTTCCCCCTCCCATGAGAGCCCACACCAGTACCCCGTTATCCAAAACACAAAAAAAACATCACATAGTTCCCATTACTCACCATCAGTGCAAGACACGGTAACCTAAATTTCCACATACAAGCCTTTATAGAGAAAAAAGCAAGAAAAGAGAAATAAACATACAAAATCAGTACCAGAAAGGATACTCAGCCTCTTTATGTATGTATGTATGTGTGTGTGTGTGTGTGTTTGCATACATGACAAGTCCCCACTTCCCGTGACAGCAGCTGGTTCTCGGCCTGCAGAACTGGATAAAATCAAAAGAAAAGTGTGAGGCCTGTAATTACACGTCGACTGTTCCTCTTGTTTAACAACCTGATCTTATCTATAAAGTATAGCAGCATCTAGAGTTTACTTAGTGCTTAGTTTTCTTTGACCATTTTTATTGAAGTTATATGTTGTAAATATATGTGCTCTGTCAGGCTTGAGTAAGCAGTTATACATCTGAGCATAATGCCATTCAGTGCGGTTGGGTGGCAAAGTATGAGGTCAACCTTCGTGCTGTCCTCAGCGCTCCTTGTTGACATGAGAATGCCTGACCTTCATTAGTAGTGCATCATGGAGTCACTAACAGCGGGGAGCTATATTTGAGACCTGAATCAGCAATGCTGCCCCAAGCAAAGCACAGTGGATCAGCATTATCCATCCCAAGGAGGCCTTTGTTGACAAGCTATCGGCTAAAATAAGCTCCAGCCGGGAGGAGGCACACATCCCCATCAGCATCCCACTTCCTGTGAGACAGCAATTT